CATATTAGTCAAAATTTATTGAAATTTATATTTAGAAATAGTAGGGTGCCGCCTTTGCGGTACCAGATTAAATAATTTTGCCTTGAAATTTGCATAGGTCAAGTTTAACCACCATCTATCAGGACCATAGAGTACCTGAACAGACATCAAAACATTGAATACCTCCATCTCATCATGATCATAGAGTGCTGATCAGACATTAAAACATTGAATGCCTCCACCATCTCATGACCATAGAGTACCTGAATAGGCATCAAAACATTGAATGCCCCCATTAATTCATCATGACCATAGAGAACCTGAATAGGCAGCAAAACATTGAATGCCTCCATTATCTCATCATGACCATAGAGAACCTGAATAGGCATCAAAACATCGAATGCCTCCACCATCTCATCATGACCATAGAGTACCTGAACAGACATTAAAACATTGAATGCCTCCACCACCTCAACATGACCATAGAATGCCTGAACAGACATCAAAACATTGAATGCCTCTACCATCTCAACATGACCATAGAATGCCTGAAAAGACATCAAAACATTGAATGCCTCCACCATCTCATCATGAACATAAGACTGCCAGAACAGGCATCAAAACATTGTATGCCTCCCCCATTTCATCATGACCATAGAGTGCCTGAACAGGCATCAAAACATTGAATGACTCCACCATCTCATCATATGCATAGAATGCCTGAACAGGCATCAAAACATTGAATCCCTCCACCATCTCATCGTGTACATAAGACTGCCAGAACAGGCATCAAAACATTGGATGCCTCCCACATTTCATCATGACCATAGAATGCCTGAATAGGCATCAAAACATTGAATGCCTCCACCATTTCAACATTGATGGTCGGATTGAGTCTGGAGACACCGTGGAGAGAGGATGCTGAACAGCTGCGTTATGCACCGCCACACTAGTCCTGCACCGGGTATTATGGTATGGGACGGTATTGGATATCACACTCGCACTCCTCTAGTACGCATTGCCGGTGTAGTATTCTGTGTGTTTAAAGATAAATATATATATACATTATTATAGAAAGCATGAAGCGTAAACATTGGATTTAAATAAATAAATAGTAAAAATAAAATAACTGTAACCTTTTAAATATATATAATTGAAATTAAATAATTTCATCTTGTGCCTAATGTTTAATTAATAAATTAAATAATAACTATACAACATAAATTGGCGACGAGATTTGAAAATTTAACTGTAGCCCTGGAATCTGGAATTTCAAAAAATTTTGATGAAATTAAGAGAGCTACTCTATTGCATTGTTTAGGGCCAAATGTACAACGTA